AGTCAAAGATGTAATCACTCACAAGGAGACGGGACATATCAGGACAAAAAACGGCTTCAGCCAATACTTAACTAACTGGAGGAGAGGGAGGCTGTACTGTGCTGCACCAGAATTAATACCGTGGTGCTGAGATTACACAAGTCATCACAAATTCCTGGTGCAGAGGTCGTAGATTTTTTCAAGCAGGATGGATTTCAGGGAGTGGATCTGGACTGTGTCGTCCCTGTGGCTTTCTGGGCACCAGTCAGTGTACAGGTGATGCTCCCAGACCTTTCTTCTGTTTCATTTGGCCCTGACTTCAGACAGCAGGACACACGTCAGCACTGGATCTCTAATTGTCAGTCTTCCCCAGCTGCACGCATGACATGCCAAAGGGGAGCAGAGGTGTGCAAACTAACTGGAGGAGAGGGAGGCTGTACTGTGCTGCACCAGAATTAATACCGTGGTGCTGAGATTACACAAGTCATCACAAATTCCTGGTGCAGAGGTCGTAGATTTTTTCAAGCAGGATGGATTTCAGGGAGTGGATCTGGACTGTGTCGTCCCCGTGGCTTCCTTGGCACCAGTCCGTGTACAGGTGATGCTCCCAGACCTTTCTTCTGTTTCATTTGGCCCTGACTTCAGACAGCGGGACACACGTCAGCGCTGGATCTCTAATTGTCAGTCTTCCCCAGCTGCACGCATGACATCCCAAAGGGGAGCAGAGGTGTGCTGACTCCTACCAGGCAATCAAGAGGGAGGTCTACTCCACCTGGCTACGAGATGAAGCAATGCACTATTTCTAAAATGGATTCATAGGCATGTTCTTCTGCAAATATGAGGAGGATATTTGAACCAGCAAAAAGTTTTGCTCTCTTACCTTTGTGTTCTGAAATGACCTGCACAAGTTGGTAGGTTCCTGCTTCCTCCATGTCCAGATCATATTTTCTCATAATTTTTGAGATCACATCTCTAGTTGTGTCTTGGCTCGTTAACTGGAAAAAGCATTTTGCAGTGAATAATTTTACTTCCTTGTTTCTTGACATTTGTTTTCACTTTATCTATCTGGCATGTTGGTTTGGTGTCTCATCGGTGAGGTACAGACAGTGCACAAATGGAAATTACGGAGAGATGGAAATAGTGTTGTGCACAGAACATCCTAGCAAAGGGTGACGGTTTCTGTGTGTATTTTACTCTACCAAGCTGCGTCTCTAGATTTGGTTTGTCCCTAGTGTAAAAAAGACCACTATGAAGGTTCTTTTATTTTGCCTCTGTCTCTCGGAAATCTTTCATTGCAGCGTGGTCACCCACACGTAGCAGAGTCTCAGAAGCCACTAGGCTGGTCCTATGCCATCAAGGCTTTACTTGCCTAAATCTACCTTGGGCCAGTGAGATGGCACAAGCAGCATCTCCCTCACCATGCATCTGGCCAAGGGTTTCCCTCTAAACGGTTTCCCTTTCACTGGAAAGTCCCATACAACCTTCTCACAAACAACTGGGAGAAACATGGGGAAAAGCAAATGACTCCAAAGCAGATAGACAACTGGCTCAGCAGCCACAAGCAAAGGTCATTCTGCATGGATCCAGGTGGGAACAGCAGGAGGCTTTGAGTGGACTCCTACAGGGATCTGCCCTGGCTCCGCTGCTGTTCAGATGATTTGGATGCAGGAATAAAGAGCTTCCTGAGCAAATTTGCAGAGAACTCAAGACTGGGAAGGACAGCAAACGCACTGGGAACACTGTCTCTTGGCTGGGGATTTGGACTCGGGTGTGCTGATTGCTCTTGTTAGAACTAAAAAAACCTACAAGTTCCTGGGTTTTGCTTCTCTGCTCGGGGTCCTACCAAGCACCACATTTGGGATTGGACCTCCGCCTCCTTGCTTTAACTGTAGCGGGTTATGGTTCTTCTTGGTGTTTTGGGCATTGAGAATAGTAGTTGTGTGGGAGGTTGGTTTCTGCAGTATTAAGAATAGGTCAGACATAACTTGAGTGGAAAGGTTTAGTTAGGAATCATCCTGCCTTCAGCAGGGGGTTAGATTAGATGGCCTCCTGAGGTCTCTTCCAGCTCTACTTTTCTATAAGAGAAATTGAGGGGTAATACACTATGATATTTAGAAGTATATGCCCTTTGGGATCCTAATTTTCTAGTGCTATACAGCATCTTTCGGTGACTTGCCTCCAAGCTGGTCTTCGGTGTATCTGTCTGCCTACCTGTGCGCACACACCCATTCATACAAATGGCGTGCATGGTTTCTTAGGACCTTAGTCAATGATTGAGGACAAGTGGTGGATATTATCCAGCTGAAAGCCCAGAGAAAAGTTGGGGAGGTGGAATGTACTTTGACTACTAAAAAGCCAATGTCGATTCACCTAAGAATCAAGGGCATGAGGTGGGCCCTAATATTTCAAAGCTTTGTCTTGGTGTGAATCAGAGCAGCAGAGGATTTACATGTTACTTGTCATCCCGAGTGAAAACACATCCTGTAATAAATCTACACAGCTCTTCCACATCACTTACCAGAATGCCTTTGTACACAGCACCTTTACTGTTCGGCACTGTGCGGTGAATGACATGGGAGTCTCCGTTCTTCTGGGAGTAAGGTGCAGACCGAGCAGATCAGAGGTGGAGGAAGGAGGAGGTGATGAACAAGTGGCCATGGAAGGTACGCATGAAGGAGATGATGAGCATTCAGAGACGTAAATAATGAAAAATAAATGAAGGGAAAAAGTCAGAAACATGATGGAAGCAGTAGGGATGAAAGAGCAGAACCAGAAGCAGGTATTTCGGGTCTATGGCTCGTTCTTGAATGGTGTTAGTGGTGGTGAGAAGCAGGTATTTCGGGTCTATGCCTCGTTCTTGAATGTTGTTAGTGTTGGTGTCCTACCTCCAGGAGTAACTTGGTTTGGGATTTGTAATGAAGTATTCATATTTAGTATTCCATCTACAACTAACACCCCTGAAACACGGAAGATATCGGTTTTTGCCGTTTGAAATGGGTGTTTAGTCGGTCTAAGAAAAGACAGCACTTTTACCCAAAGAACCTTGTCTGCTGAAAGAAACGGTAGCATTCCTGACTACACAATGTGCTTTGCTCAGGAAGGAGCTCCTGCAGGGCAGATGCGCCTACTGACCTTTCTCTGCCATTACCTATTGGGCAAGGTTGTGATATGGAAAGTAATACTCCGAAACCCTGGAAACTTGGCTTCCATTTCTGCACTCCTTTGTGTTTACAGACTCCACTGACTTCTGCCCAGCTGGGGAGGGAGCCATGGGACAGGGGCAGGAGGGCAGGGGAGCCTGGGACGCGGGCACAGTGCTACTGGGAGTGGGGGATATGCCTCGCTGCCTCTTGCCCAGCCAGAACGGATGGCAGGGAGGGGCACAATGCAAATACAGCTTGCTCCAGGTGGAAGGGGGCAAGCAGTAGCAGGGCATAGACCCCACTCCCAGCACTGCTGTGCCCACATCCCATGCCTCTCTGCCCCGGCTGGGTAAGTGGCAGTAGGGCATCGCTTGCTGGTTGCCCATCCGGGGTGAGGGGGCACAGGATGCAAGTGCGGCAGTGCCGGGAGTGGGGGCTATGCCCTGCTGCTGTTTACCCCCTTCCACCCAGAGCAAGCTGCGCCACACCCAACTCCCTCCCCAAGTCCCACATCCCCCTGCCCCGGCTGGGCAGCTTGTCCCAGCCCCCGCCCCCGCC